CTTCGGTTTTTACATCTGTTAGACTCATGAGTGCAAAAAAGAAAAATCAGAGCTTCCTTGTGTGGCTCTGTGGGCTCTCACTGTATGTCGACGACTTGACAGTGTTTAAAAGAAATGTATAATCTTTCACCATAAATATCCACATTTTCTTCTATTGTATAGTGTGTCATGTTCGTGTGGGAGAGTTAAAGATATGACTATTTGTGGGCACGCTCTCCCAACACCACATACACAATCTCACGTGCGCACTATCCCCTCCCATAATTGCGTTCAAAACAGGTTTATGCTAACAGGCAAAATTGTACTCTTGAGTATTTATCGCGCTGCAATAGAATGTAGCATCAGTGATTTACGCTGTGTGGGAAAAAAATCTGCAGTGAAGTTAAATACTACACCATCTCTCCCATGACGGAAGATGTTCAGGCGACTGGCCGGCAGGCCGCCTCAGTTTGGACAAATTACCCAATGACTATCTATCTGCCACTTTTGTTTACAAAGGAACTGTCATTGTAAATGGAAAAGTATATTATTTGTATTTAAAATCATTTCAAATAAAAAACTTTTAAATGAGATCGTGTCAATATTTCCCCTATCTACTATTGGAAGCTTGTTTTGGAAATGTATTTCAGTGGGTACTGCTACCCAATGTGGTGGCCCTGTCATGTAGAGTTACCCTGACAAACTCTAGTCTTAGCATATCATTATTTTTCAACAGGGAATTCCCTGTCTGAAAGTTTGATTTCACCATCATAATTAGGCTAATTATCTCTTGGATACCTAATCCCGTTCCAAAGGAAGCTTAATCAGTGCAAAGTGCTATGCTAATTGATTAAAACAGGTCAGATAGCATATCTGTAACATCCAGCTATACCATAACAAGGGGTTCAATTGCTTGTCCGCTCATATATTGGAGTTTCCAAGTCGTTAAGCATGCGTGGGTGGCGCGCTTGAGTGAATCATATTGGATGAGAAAAATGGCAGAAGGCACCGGTCCAGGGGGCAGAGGCAAGGGTAAGAGGTTTCTATGTATGATATACATTTAATCATGGTTTTGTTGCTGTACATTATTTTACAAACTGCAGGCTGCATAACTTAACTTTAAAACACACATTTTTCTGTAGATATAATTATTGGTGTATCAGTCTGTTCACCCCTTTAATGTAGCAGCTTATAAAGATGGAACTCATCTTAATAACTCATATAAAGTGTTTCTTTACTTACTTTTGATTATATTATATTATTCTGAATTCGGACGTTTTAGATAATATGGTGCATTGATGAATACAATATAGTAAGATAAGAAGGCTCACATACAAAAAAATCTCAAATAGTAGTGCAAAGTTAAAGTTTACTTAAACACTTCAGTAGCCTACTTAGTTAATTAGTTAATGTAGCCTACTTAACATAACAGAAATTCAATTTAAACATTTCATATCAGTTTTTTCAACTTTAGTCAAATGTGAAAGCAGAAGTAACTCAATACTATAACTATTTACTAAAAACGACTTCTATATTTTGTATACATCACAATAAATGTAATTTTGAAAAGTATAGAACAGTTTTCTATCATCATTGAATAATTTCAATGATTAAGAATGTAGCCTATAAACAAAAAAACAATAATAATACCCCACACACAACAAATCCCTGACCATAACTACCTAAATATCTAAATTGTCTGACAATATATGACAATAGAACATAATGTTTTCTGGGTTTAACTCATATCTGTCAAGGAGGGTTTGGGATATCAAAGAGGGCTGAACCTCTCCAGTTGGAGTGCTCCTGTTTTATTTACCGAGCAGTCTCTCCTTCTGTCTGAGCCGGTGCAGCTAATTGAGATGCAGCTTCAAAGCCAGAGAAGGAAATGATCATCACCAACAGCACCTTGAATGGTTTAGCGACACGTCTCCCTACAACTTCCGCCATTATGGACGTTACAACTCCTACCAAAATCTCCGGACAGCGTTAGGAAGGTCAAACAGCGGCTCAGCTTCCCGCCCCTCCGTCTCCAGCCCAGCCCGCGGTGTGAGCTCGCCTCCCTGCCGCCACTGCAGGGGTGGAAGTCGGACTGACTCACACCGAGGGCTCCCTGGTGCTCCAGCCGCCTCTGGTGCTCCATGCTCCGGCTCAGCGTCTACAGCAAGTCCGCCTACTCTGGAGGTATGAATTCCCTCCGTTAAATCGACCACAACAAGATATAGGTCTAGGTAAATATGAGTCTCTATCACAAAACCGAACTTAAAGGTATCTCTTATCATCATTAACATTGTGTAACATTAAATACACAGTGGCATAATCCCCAATCCAAGGTCATTATAAACTCACTTCAGTGCAGTCCATCTATAGAGAATAGGCTAGAAAAGCATTATGTTCCCTGCTAAAATGTGATGTTGCTTGCATATTCAATATCCAATTTCCATCATACATTTGACTAAACTCACCTTTGGTTTCACTAACATCCTGATCTACAGTATACAGTAGGCTATGTGATAGCGTTGTTTTATTGTAGGACATTAAATATTTAGACCAACAACTATTTTTATCTCCAAAAAAGTTGATGGGGCAAATGTCAGGTTATGCACACATGTATGTGGAGTATGCTGACAGTTAATCTTTCACATCCCCTCACACCAGACTGAATTTGCAAAAGCAGTGGTATAGTGTAGTGTGTAACAGCTATGACTCGCAACATCTAGAAAAAAAAGTTTGATAAAGGAGTGCACTTTGCAGAAGGACTTCATTTGCACACAAAGAAAAAGTCCATGCAGACAGCATGAACAACCTTGTGGGCTCCTGCAAAGTGTTTTTTTTGTTGGCGAGGAATTTATTTAGTTTTTTTATTCCAAGGGATCAAAAATGCTGGATGACAATGGAGGCACCAGAGCTCAAAACAAGGCCTGAGATCAAAATGTGCCATTTATCATCACTAGAGTTTGTAATTCATTACTTAAAGCAACCAAGTCCACCTGTAGGGTCTGACTGAATCCATTCACTTAATTCCTTATTTCTAATTATTTTTGAAAAGACAAGGATTACCCCTTTGTAAGACACTGTTTGAAAAAGCTTTTTAATAAAGAAAGGTCTGTCAGCACTGAATTGCAGAGGGAAATACATTTGCAGGGTGGCACATTATTGGACCTTTCACCTTTGTGTGTGATTTTGTTAAAGAAATCTCTCCTACAGATTCACTTCTGGCAAAGCTCCAAACCACAAGTGTTTTGGTATTGGCAAGATAAAGTAGTTTTCTGCTCTCATGGGACTCAGAGCCTTAGAGGAATTTTCCCGTGTGTGTGTGTGTGTGTGTGTGTGTGTGTGTGTGTGTGTGTGTGTGTGTGTGTGTGTGTGTGTGTGTGTGTGTGTGTGTGTGTGTGTGTGTGTGTGTGTGTGGCATCTTCTTTCATGTTTTTTGTAGGATGTCTGTTTGATCTTTCGTTTTACTTTTCTTTTTTATATTGGGGTTGAGGGCAGATTTTTTCCTCTCTTAGTTGATTGAAGCTGATGGTTCAGCTCTCAAAAATATTGTATCTGCTCTTTAATGTCCCATTTTCCTTTGATTTTTATTCAGTGGCACTTTTTGTAAACAAACCAAAAAACGTGATTTTTACTAGGTTGGTGAAACATTTTTGCCCTTTTCCTTTTCGCTATAGTTAAGCTAATATAGCCTACTATCAAGATTCTTGCTGTTTTAAGTTATTATCCTTATGGTTGATTACCCTAATTGATAAATGTGTCATTACTGTCAGACTTTGTTTAAATCATATATACTGTGCTGTAACTACTAAGGCTGAACGATATATATGTTTTTTAGATTTAAAAAAAAAATGAACTCAAACACGTCATGTTACAATTATTTTTGCTGCTTGCTACAAAAGGAAAACTCGCGCGGCTCTCGTGTCAGGGATACTTGAGTGAGTGACATGCAGGCTCTGCATGCACAGCAAACCATCAATCACAACCATTGAGATCACAGCAGGATAATCAAGCTAGCTCAGCTTGTTGCTCTGATAATTTAAGATCCAGAAGTCCGTGACTAAAATCCTTCATCCGGTTAAATATTGTTAAAAAAATAACAACTGTATAGCATTAAAGTTCAAGAAAGGATGGTTTGCGGACAAAAAAAACTGTCTTTTCTTCAATTCCTGTATTTTTTCATATTACAATATATATCGCAGGGGAAGAAAATATCGCCAATGTCAGTTGTTTCCAATATCGTGCAGCCCTAGTAAATACATACTTTTTTGTGTAGTAAGAGTGCTTTATATGTGTTTTTCTGATGATGCAATGCAACATCTCACTTCCATGCAGGCAGAATAATTGCTGCCTGATAGTAGTAAATAAACCCCTGGGTGTTCTCCTCAACAGTAGATATAGAAAATCCGATATCCTTACAGAATAGTGCCATACGCGATAATGTGAACATTTACATCAGCTTTTAAGTTTCACAGCTCCCTTTTGTCCCCTCTTCACCTGCCTTTGTTCCAAAGAGACTGAAAGCTTAGTTAACATTAATCATTCAATCCAGCACCCTGCAGGCCAAATCTCATTCCTCTCGCAGCACAATAGACACATTGTCCCTAATTCTTTTATCATTAGCAAAGTAATTTTCTCCCATTAGCAACCAGTTTATTTATTTGACCTCTGGATACACACTGGTTTAATTACACAATGCTCCGACCATTTTCTTTTCTCTTTTTGATATTTAATGTTTCCACTCACATTTTTGTGGTTTAAAAGGTCTGAAGGATGGTTGATGGTTGAGGATAAAATTAATGTTAAGAAGTGTAATATTCGAGCACTTCGTTATGAGCAAAAGGTGATCAGTAGAATTGAATTATTAATACATTCACATTTGACAGCAGGCCAATGGAAACGCAATAAATGCATATTTTAAATGTATTGTCGTTTTTAAAAGTGTTCTCTCTTTTCCTCTAGTGTGATGTATCCCGCCTCCCCCTGGGCTGAGAGGGCATGAGGCTGCGAGGTGGGCGGGACTCAAGCCCAGAATCCTATCTGGAACTAGCCCCTCCTCCTCCTCGTCACGTTGCCTGGTTACCTGGCGTCCTAAGCAAAGGGGTACGCCTTCGTCTGCGTTTGGATCACCGCGACAACCGGGGACGGGGCTGCTGGCAGCTGGTGGACTTGGAGGCGGAGTCACAGCAAGTTGGGCGGAGGCTGAGGAGCAGCCCCCCCAACACCTGCGCTCAAAGTAAGAGTTTGTTTTTAAAAAGTGAGTCTCAGCATTTTATTTTGAAAGAATGATTTTGCCAGTCTCTCTGTATCTGATTAAATGTAACAGGTATTTAGGATTGCCTTTACTAACTATATTAAATATATGTAAATTAAATATAGGCCTACCGTAACTAGTTTATCAAATAGCCTATATCTTAGCTAAACGTCTCTTAGAGTTCTTTAAATAATATTAAATAAACCTCCTATTCTTTGAATGTCGCTTTTATATTATTATAAATAATATGACATTGCCTTACATTTTATTTACATTTACACTTTATCTTATTGGATTACTTGATTACTGATGCATTAAAATGTGTTGAATTAAATTGGATTCTCATATTTTAAACAATGCATAACCCTTATATTCTGTATATAAAGTACTTATCTGTAATGTAATTAGTAATTGCAGCTGTAAAGGAATCGAGTGGATTAAAAAGTACTGAAATATTTTTTACTTTTTAAAGTTGAAATATATTTGTAATTACATAGTGACACATAGTGACAAAACTCATAACACTCACGCTTCTATTGGCTAGCGCTCCAACACATTGTACGTAATAGGCTAAGGGGCGGGACATCTAAGCTGTTGGCCAATCAGTCGGCCAGCTAACCAATCAGAGCAGACTGGGCTCTGGTTTCAGTAAGAGGGTGAAAAGAGGTGCTGCAGTACACAGTAGAAAAATAAAGAGCTTTTTGAACAATAAAGCATGTAAACATGTCACAGTAGAGGCTCAAAATACAAATATGAAACCTGGAAATTAGCATAATAGGGCCTCTTTATCATAATTTAGGCAAAATAAATCAACTCAAGAAGTCATTTTAAAACTGTGCTGTATATTCAGAAATGTTTGTGGGAGATATGGGCATTTAAATATTCCTGTATATGATTTATCAAATGTCCCCCTCCCCCCCGGCCCACAGCTGATGAAAAGAGCAATACCCTCCACCCTCCCTCTCTTTCTGGAGTGGGCTCTGTTATTATGGAGCTCAGTGGAGATAAGGAGCAGCCGTTTATGTGTGTGTGTGTGTGAGTGCCTTATTTAATACACACATTGTTGTTTATTTATTCCCACCTTATCACATGACTCTGGCACTGGATCCAATTTTTATCGTCTGTTTCCATGGCGACGCCCTGCCTGAGCTGTAAATAAATTCAGGGGGTTGGTTACATTGATTAGAGAACACACACACACACACACACACACACACACACACACACACACACACACACACACACACACACACACACACACATTAACACACACATTAACACACACACTATTCATTGTAGACAACCAGGCGAAGCTAAGCATGTTAGTGTTTGTATGTGTGTAACCCTTAAACTGTCTATATATATATGTGTGTGTGCGTGTGTGTGTGTGCGTGTGTGTGTGTGTGTGTGTGTGTGTGGCTTTGTCTCTGTGCTGCAATGATATTTATTGCAATCTTCAGTTAGAGCGGGGGAGGGGTGTGATGGAGTACAAAGCTTTTTGTGGCTTTGTTTCTACTATTTCTTTTAGTTTCTCTGCGTTTGTGTGTGTGTGTGTGTGTGTGTGTGTGTGTGTGTGTGTGTGTGTGTGTGTGTGTGTGTGTGTGTGTGTGTGTGTAAGCGTGCAGAGGGGGTTGTCTCACAGGTACATCAAAGTTTCCGGTTTGAAGCTGAAGCAGTGGTGCGTGCAGTTAAAAGCTGCCACTTCCTGTTGCCTCAAAATTGCATTTAACAATCTCTCTGTCTGTCTGTCCCTCAGGTCTGATGAGTACGTTATCTGCCAGCTCAGAAATGCAGACCCCTTCGCTCGGCCCCCAGTTTTCAGCGGGGTCCCAGGGTAAGGTACCTGGCAGGAAGAGAGGACGGCCTCCGATCCGCAAACTGGAGTTCCAGAGTCACTACGTTGAAGATATGTCGCCTCTCAAAGTCCCGAAGAAGAGAGGCAGGAAACCGGGCTTCAAGGTCAGTAGGTCGTCGTTTGATTCACACACAAACTGTAGGTTCACATTCAGATTTTTCTCATTTCCTGAATGTGTTAAGATCATTTCCTGGTTTGCAACTTTAAATATAACAAATCCTTTGCATTATTTACATCCACATTTACACAGCTAGTCTTCTCCCATGCCTTTAGCTGGTGCTTTGCCAGGTTCATTAGCACATAACTAACGCCAACTATGTGCAGAATAATGTAATAAAACCGTTGGTATACAGTAGTAGATCTGAAGAAATGATTGACCCACTCCATAATGCCACCAGTGGTCAAAAACTCAACCAGTATGTACCATTAATCAATGCTTTTACACAGGCACGGACAACCTGTATCGATGCAGTATTGGTATTGCTTTTGTCTTTAGTGATGGTACTGTCATTGATATTATTTTGCCTTCCTTTTTTGCATTTAGTCTTTCTTGAACATCCTCCTGGGTTCATAAAGACAGGAAATATAGAGAGCGAGAGGGTATGACATGCAGAACTGATGCTAAGCCAGAATTGAACCAGGGGCATTGTGATATTGGTTCACTGTTAACTAATAGGCCATTGAACGTGTACAACAAATATTGATGTTGGAATTGGTAGTAGAAACATTATATCATGATAAAGTACAAAGTTGCTATTATTGTTGAGATTTGTTTAGTGGTGGCGCTGTAGGTAAACATATAGGTTTTATTGTTGCCTGTTCTCAGTGCCCTGTCTTTTTATCTAGTTCAATGCATGGGTCAAAACATTTCTAACACTTAAAGGATACTTTGACGATTTCCAACCGTCTTTGTCTTGTTAAAATGCGGGTGGTATGTGCAAATGATTCCTGTTAGCTGTGAAGGGAGCTGAATACTACAAGTCGATGAATATTTCTTAGTCTAATGACCACATCCTCATTAGCTTCAGCTACATTGGCTACCAAAGGGCACTGTTGTATGAGGAAGATTTTTGAAGAAGGAATCCAATATTCTATACTGTCGTGTAATGAAATAAAAGCAGAATCCTTGATCTGTGTGTATGTGTGTGTTCCTGTGTGTGTAGCTGAAGCCCAGGATGGTGATGTCCCCACTCGCTAACTCCCCCCCCGGCAACACCCCAGAGCCTGAGATGGGCTCCCTCCCCCAGGACGCTGCCATCGTCCCCCACTCTGCCACCCCACAAGCTCTCACAGGTAATCTCCCCCTTTATCAGCTTTTCTATTCCCGAACATGAATCGGTCTTTACCAAGTAACAATCCTAATCAGGAATTATAGGTCTGAAAAATAAGAGAAGCAAGGGGGGAGGGGTTCAGGTTACAAGGTCTAATGAATTTTATTAAGCCCTCAGACCTGGAGCCTTTCACTATGAGAAAGGGGCTCATAACGCTTTTTACACTTTATGGTACAAATGCGCTCTCGCTTCCTCTCTTTTATGTTGAATCTTATCTTTCTCAGCTGTGTGCTTCCCTGAGACTTACATTGGGTGCTAAAACACAGGCTTATCTTTCTTCTTTGTGCTATAAAACAATCAGATGACTTGTTTTTCACTCTTGTGCATGTCTGCATGTTCAATCAAAAACAAAACAACTGTCTCTGGGTTTAGTATGTATGTTTCATTCTTTTTTATGAGAAATACACACCTTTTTTTGTTATTCCCTTTGAATTTTCTCTGAGCTTTCCTTTCCTGCTTAGGCTCTAGAGAAAATCAGACGTGTTTTTAATTCTTCGACAAGAGAAAAGACACATTCATTCATCCAGCCATCCTTTCTCTCTCGCTTTCATTTTTTTCTCTCTGCTTGTCTCCCTCTTGGTCTGCTCTGAATAAGCAAATATTTAAAGACCGCCTTTAGAGTATTTGAGGTGGGAATGGGAATCTCATGTGTCAAGGACCAGCGCTTTGCCCTTTGTTCTTACAAATCATGAAAAGTGTTTGATGTCAGACTGTAGACATACAGAAGAGAAGAACACACACACACACGCACACACACACACTTATACACACTCACTACAAACCATTCACTCCCTGTGGTGCCTCACAAACAGATATGTAAATCATTTCTCTGGTGAAATGGAGAAGCAATTCCGAAATAGTCCCAGTATTTTTATGATATTTTTTTGGATACTCTCCAAGCAGTGTACATCCCTTTCAAATAATGATCCTCTATAACATAAACAAATAGAATTTGGTTATCTATTTATAATATTCAGTAAACGTTTATTATAAAATATAAGAAAACTGATACATAAGAATGGAGATAGTGTTAACAATGAAAAAAAGCAAAAAAAAATCTAAAGTGCGAAAATATTAAGATTGTACTGTAGGGTATGAGGGTTGTTTATCACTGTTATCACTGTGTGTGTGTGTGTGTGTGTGTGTGTGTGTGTGTGTGTGTGTGTGTGTGTGTGTGTGTGTGTGTGTGTGTGTGAGAGAGTGTGTGTGTGAATGTATTACTCCCCATCCTCACATCCTCAGATCTACAGTAATCACATAGTAGATTTTTCCGAATACAAACAAATACATTTGACCTTTGCTTGAGCACAAATAACAGGCAATTCAAATCATCTCAATAGAGTATTTCTTATGTCTTATAAATCTGTCAGAGAGAGATAATCCATAACTGCCAAGCCCCGGCGTAACCAGCAGGCATCTACATTATTGACAATCTGCAAAATGCTTGGCTCAAAGGGGAGCACGTTGAGAAGAATTACTTTCAACCTTTAACCGTTTCACAGACGTATGGTTACAGCTGGAAGGGGCTTTAACACAGCATATATGTTGTTTTTGTTCCACGATTAATTTTATTCATTAGAAGTATATGATTGGGACACATCATACATTTCCAACATGTGTCTTTATTGATACTACTTCCTGTCGTTCCTCTTCCAGCGGAAACGTCCATGCCTGATGACTTCCTATGCGACCCACCAATGGACTCCAAGCGTTATGCTGTTGATCCCAGTGACTCTGCCTTCAATGTCATGACATCCCAGTACCCACCAAAGCGGTCCTATAGTTACCGTGGCAGCAGTTGCTCTACCCCGATGGGCCTGTGCAGACAAGCATCAAGCCCAGGAAGCTTCCAGGAAGTCAACAGGAATGGTGAGGCTGCGTTTTTTACTTTGCATTGCCAGTTCATTTTTCCTCTGATTAGATCTTTGATACAGATAAAAGTGCTTTGTACCAAAGCTTGTAAAGCTCCTGTACAGCCATGGTCCCCCTGCACAGGTGTGTGCACTGACCGCCTAAATAGACCGTATTGGTTCAGTGGAGGAGTGTGTGCATTTTTGTCACACTATACTATGACCTTTTTTTCCCGACATACTAAACTATGTCGTTTTTCTGATATGTTTTGACATACCAGTCTAATAATTCGTAATGACATAATATTCAATGTAACTTTTTTTATTTATTTTTTACATATTATTGTATGACTTTTTTTCGACATGTGTCGGTTTCCTGATTTTTTCAACATACTATACTATTAGTTTTTATGACTTTTTTCTCATATATTTAGACATACTATACTTTTTTATTTCATATATTTTCCACATACCATTTTATTTTCCTGCATACTATGTTGTTTTTCTGAAATGTTTGGACATGCTATACTTTGACTTTTTTACCATGTAATTGTTCTGATATCTTTTTTTTTACATGTGTGACTATATTTTTACGACATAGTCTCCTAGGATTTATTTTGGTATACTTTAGTATAACATGTTTTGATTGATAAGAGTACCTTAACTACATTCACATACATATATTCTTAACATTCTCCTCTAGCTCCTGTTCTAAAATAAAACAGTTTCATTAGGTACACACTAAGCTAATATCTTGTTGGTTATCATATAAGACTGTTTATTAGTTTGTTTTGTTTATTGGATCCCAATGTTGTTGGTAAATTAAGAGTCATTCCTCCACCTTTCCCCAGCTTACACTCCAGACTCCGCAGAGTCCAAGCGTCCTGCGGGTAAAGACCCCTCCAGGTGGGGGGTGGAGGAAGTCGTCTGGTTCATCAAAGATGCTGACCCCCAGGCCCTGGGCCCCCACGCTGAAGCCTTCAGGAAGCATGTGAGTCTGCGCTAAATGACCAAGAGCCTTCTCTTATCAAAGCTACAAGGCTCTGACACTGTTCTGCGATGTGTTTCAGGAGATAGACGGAGACGCTCTGCTCTTGCTGAAAAGTGAGATGATGATGAAGTATCTAGGACTGAAGCTGGGACCTGCGCTCAAACTCTGTTACCACATAGACCGGCTGAAACAGAATCGGTTGTGATTTGCTGCTGAGGAGCCAAACTCCTGGTCACATCACTCTGAACTGTATCTGACGATTCTCATAAACGTTCTCTACCTTCAGCAATACATCATGGACGCCTTTGGATCCTGGTTTTCTGTTGAAACATTTGACATGTTGACTGTACATTTAAGGACTATTTGAAAACATGATTTAATATCCACCATTGTTGATCAGGTTTCTAAACGTATTGTAAATATTTTGGCTCTACGAAGATTGGAAGCTACTGTATATAAAAACCCTTCCACATCTGACCATCAACAGCATGAACACCTCTGAAAACCTTCTGAGACAGGCAGCTGTACATCCTGTTTGGTGCTTTACCTCCATATCGTTTTGAACTTGAAGAAGTCTTTGGGTTAAGGCACAATGCTGCTGCATTTTTTAAATAATTGTGGTCGTTTTGTTCTAAACTGTTGTAAATATTGACAAACGACACAAACTGTAATTTCTCAAACTCTTCAGCAAGCATTAACATCTTTTGAACTTTTTATAAATACTAAAGAAGTGAGAAGGGAAACAAAGGGTAACGAAGAAAAGTTTACCACACACCACAGCGTAACTGTGAAGCGACAACGTCAAAAAGGTGCAGCGTTCATAGTGAGAGGAAGGAAAGCAGACACGTTATTCACGTTGTTCTCATCAATTGTACATCATGTTACTGTGGCAAAAACCTACTTGTAGCAAAAAACTCATAGAGTGCAACTTGGTGCTTCCCGAGATCTCACTTAACAATAACATTACTCTCCTCAGATAATGAAAACACAACCTCAATCCTTTTTTTCCGTTTGGTTCTTTAAAAACAAAACCAGGAGTATTCAGTCAGTATTCAAAGATTACAAACTGTTAAATTAACTATCTTGAGCATTATTATTTACATTTTTGCAGCCCCGATACAGCTTTGCTGTAATACATTGTATAGACATCAACCTGTATTCACACATGCAGTTTATGACACACTTTTACAACTCTTGAGGTTTAAACACAATGTTTTTTTTCTAACTGTACAGTACTTGTTAATATTTGCAATCTATGGTGTTTTATGTGTATTCCTTAAACAAAATAACAAACAAATGTTACAGCCACATTTATTATGTCTATGTATGAGTTATGTATTGTAACGACTGAGGGAGCTAGGTGATGCATTCAACTTTCACATTCATTTTTCCAATTTACCTTTTAAAATCTGAAAACTTAATGTAATTGGATCCAAGGAAACAAGCCAATTTGGTTGTCTCAGGCTTATTTACCCACATAAACCATTTGAAATGTACAACAAATATTTATTACACCACATCCTTAACCAATGTAAATGACTTTTTGACTCCCTAATGACCTTCCTTTTCTTTTTAATGTTTTTTTATTGAATACTTTTTCCAAAGAAAATAAAACTCCTTGTTCAATCAAGTTTGTTGCACTTTATATTGTTATTAGCAGTATTCAAAATTGTATTGACTTAATATACTTTATTTACTTGACTAATGTTTCAATATGTAAATCAATTTATTATGTTTATTTTAAAACTGGGTAAAAACATATACTGTATAAAGGATAAGAACCATTATCCCAAGAGGGTCAAGACATGTTTACATACTTCAAAGGTGATAGTATGGATGCATGTGTTTTTTTGGGGGGGCTTTTTTGGAAAAGGGCTGATTCCAAACCAAATTTAGATCATTTTATTATAGCAGCACCTTTAAAAACATTATGAATAAAAAGACAAATATGAAACTGAATTATTTGATGCATTTTTTTATTATTACTTTATCATTCTACCCCTTATGTCAACTTGTTTGTATACAAAATACATGATGTTCTTATGAGCTCGAGAGGACTTCCGGACCTTTATTTTGAAGCGCACGAGATTACCGCCGCCCACTGTAGTATCGCGTGAGTTGGAGCGATTCACTTCCTGTACCAGTGAACCGCTGATTTTCATGCGGCTCTCGAATGTGAGCGGCTGTCAGAGGTGAACATGGCTGAGGTCTCGGAGAGGACTCTTCAGGTCGCCGTCGTGGTCTCCTTCGCGGCCGGCTTCGTGGCGGGCTGGCAGGCCAACAGGATGAGGAGGAAGTTCCTGGACTGGAAGAAGAAGCGGCTCCAAGACAAACTGTCAGAAACTCAGAAGAAGCTGGATTTGGCTTGAATGGTAAATATGTCATGGTACATTGGGCAAAATGTATGGAGTCAAACGAAGGCCTTTGACTAGCAGCTTTATTAGTCTTCTTTTAATTGACAGGCAAAGACATATTGTTCTTATAAACGTCACTCTCACGCGAAAGCCGACTCTAATCTGCACTGAGGAAATGTACAGTATAATTACTCAAGTAATGTATTTTATAACAATTTCAAGGGTATCTTGCATAAGTATTTTCATTTTATGCTTCTTTACACTTCTACTACACTTAAGTTCCGAGCTAGCCTTCTTTACATATTGAGATTATGGCATAATAACAATATAAATCAACTGATAATCATATTGAAATATAATGATAGGTTAAAATATCATTCGGCAGTATAGAAAGACATTCAAATGAGCTTCACCTTTTCCAGCTGTGTTGCACTTAAATGCATCAATGGTAACAATTACTCTTTACCATCAAGACATAATGTATTGAGTATATGTTGATACTAATACTTGCAGGACTTTTACTTGTAACGGTGACTTTAAAATGTAGTAATGCTACTTGTACTCCTTCCCCACTGCTAATCTCAATAAATGTCATCATTTCCATTGTTAACAATTCTTAATCATTTGATTCTTCTCTATTTTCAAGGTGTGGGCTGTCCTACATAATCACTGGTCTTCTCTTTGTAAATCTGTGGATCCTGGATGTGCTACATGTCTGTCTGAACCTCAAGATGACTTCCCTGTGTTCTGCACCACCCATATTTCCCTGCCACACCTGTTAATCCAGACAGGACTTGATGTTTACTAAAGTCTATGGCAATACAATCATTACCTACAAACAGTAGCTCATATTCTGCCCTCAGACACTAACGTGGAAGCAGTTTGGCATCAGGCTTTGGAGGTTTTCTCTTCCAGCATGTCTCAGTTTCTGTCTGTTTCATATCTGGTTAAATAAATTATTGTATTTTTCACGTTTCTCTATCTTTGCTGTTTCTGTTCAGTTTACCTGGTATGTACACCAAAGTTGCATACGAATTGTTACATACATTTTGTCACAAGGATACACTGTATAAAGTGTCAAATACACAAAAATAGGTTCCCAAATACACCAACTAAAGTGTCTACAGAGGTATTAAGTGTGAGAACAATGTTCTCTATTAGCTGTGATTTAATGCCTCCCAATAAAACACTGATTGTGTTGCAATTTCAATTCCGGTGCTAAAAATATTTGTTTCTCCTTTAACCTTAACAGACCAATTATGCAAATGTATTTTTTTTATGCAGCGCAAGAGTTAACCTCTTTCAAGCCCTGACTCTACTGGTGCTTGCGTCTTGTAACAATTTAATTAAGCAGAGAAGAAGCATGACCATGCATTTGAAAATAAGCTTGAAGTTGGAATAGCTTTTAGGATAACATCGTTTGTTTATGAGACGTGACGATGGTGCCACCTCGTTGTTTTTTGTCTATAATCTTTATTGTCAGGTTATAACCATATCATTGGGAAAGCCCACTGACATACACTGACCTTTCAGGGTTATCGTTTCTTATTTCCTAGCTGTTGCATTGACACACATTTGATGACAATCAAAGTGACATGCTTAAAATATTTCTTAATGTATGAAATAAAGTAATAACATAATCATGGTTAATCCTAATGAGTGGTGGTAGTTCAATTAGTGGCAAATGTGTTGACAAATATATATCCTTAAACTGGTCAGAGTATTGCATTGCTGCTCCCCTACCATTCATGTATGAATCTGTGCTTGTGTAAAACCTGAGGCACACCCAATGTGTGCGATGCAATTTCATCTGGTTATTAATATTAAAAGCGCAATTTTTATAATGCCAGGCTTAAGTTTTGCTCTGAGTTGTGGCGCCATCTTCTGGATTAAAGTGAGAAACACAATTTAGTCATGAGCTGTTTGTACTTCAATGAAGATTAGGGATTTGCATTATTTATGTAATGAAATAATCTTAAATCACACGTTTACATTATACATGTTAATTTTTTTTAAAGAGACAGGCTGAAACATTCATCATAATCAAATGTACATTTTTTAACATAAACAATATTAAAAGTGGGGTAGGTAAGTTTGAGAAACCGGCTCGAGATACACTTTTTGTTATATTTCATGGAATGCTCTTAACATCCCGATAGCAATGAATATCTTAAGTGCTTTGACAAAAAATCCATTAAAAAATTTCATCTGTGGAAGCCGTAGTACTGTAAAAAGCACGACCAATCATTTTAGCCGGCCCGGCTAAAATAACTGGATGGCCTACCTGCCTGTCAGCCTTCCATCTGTGCACAAACTTATCTCGTGCCCTCATTGGTCATGTGCTATTCATTTTCTAGCCTATATTTGATAGTTGTTGTTTTTTTAGCTTTCAACCCTATCTAACTTCATTTGCTTATGTTGCTTGATTATTTTTATATTCATGCTCAATAATAGACTTTTTTTTTAACCCAATATACGGTTTAGTCGTATAAGGTTGTGCATACAGTATTTATACTTTAGATGTTTATTTACCTTAAGTTAATGGCTGCAGCTCTTCATGTACGCAGCTTGTCTTTGGGTGGTGCTATTGCACTGCCAGACTTTATGCACACAAACAAGTGTTTGCCTACAGCACTCCGGTCACTGGCTGTGAAATTAGATCTTGTGAGCAAATCTCTCTTTCTCATCATCACCACTCCAACAGGCCTATTACCGCCGCTCAACAAGCTTTAGACGAGACCTTAAGAAGTCCCTTTTCATGTAGCACTCCATCATTGGCGTGATGAGAAAGCAGGTGGAGAGGGACTATGTGAAGATGACAGAAAAATAGAAATCATCTCACCCAGGAATACAGAATTTGCACAGTGAGCATTACATATGGAGGAGCCGTCTCAAACACTACACAACATCAAGAAGCGTTGATCCAGTACTTTATATGATGGAGTGGTAACATTAACGAGGAAAAAACATTACGGTAACTTTTAATGGTGGCCTTTAATTGCTTGTGCATTGAACTGAAATGTAATTTCAAGTCACTTTTGGGTCATATTTGATTAATTTAATGGGAAGACATTAACAAAATCCCATTAGCAGATTAGTTTATGATTGCACACACACTCATTTGCATATCTTATTTCCTTTTTTGGCATCCCTGCATATAGAAAAACTTATCCTCACCTATATGAGGTTGGGAAACCTGACAAAAAGCGCATGAATAGGCTAAGTCATAAGAATAAACATGAATCAAATAAAAAAAACACAAACAAGAGATTTTCAGAAATGTGTAATTCTAGAATAAAATAACAAAAAGGAACTAAATCATGCATATAAATAGTTCAAATACTCAAATTATAATAGCTTCATTTTTTGTACAAAACATTCTCAGGCATTTTTCAGTTTCATCGACTTTCTCTTTAAATTCAACTGAATGGCAAAGCCTAGTTTGTAAGGAGACAGAAAAAAGCGATGACTTAGCGGGAATTAAAAGAGCAGGAACCCATGTGGACAAATGGAGGGAGAAATGAGTGTCGTGGGAGAAGTGTGTAGCCGTTTGTGTTTGGGATTGTATTCTAGAGGGGGCGTCCCTCAGTGTCTGATGCTGTTGCTAAATTGTGATGAATAGCTTGCTGGTGTGTGTCGTGTGTGTTTGATGTCTATTCCCATTTTATTTGGTAGTAGAGCGGTGCAACAACTGGTGCGTAAAGCTGGGAAGTCTTTTCAAACGAGACGAGAGCGGTGGTGACTAGGAGATAATGTGCTATAGATGCAAAAGGAGGAAAACAGAGAAGTGAAAAACAGTTGACTGCAATGATGGATCTGATTTTCCTAATTGACACGTAGACCTCAGAGTCCATGTCCTTCGCCCATATTGAGTGTGCTCACTGAGTGTCATGTTTAATAAGCTTCCTGATTGACTTTCTGCTTGTGTGATTGTGCCCTCTGGCTATAGGGTGTCTGCAAAATAGGAAAAAGGAGGTGAAGCAGGAAGAGAAAAGACAACAGACTAGAACAAAAAAAATTGATTTATACTGTGTAGAGCAGGGGTATTCAACTAAAATTCAACGAGGTCCAGTTAGAGAAAATCTCCCCATACAAAGGTCCGGAACATCAAAATGTCTAACTTGCTTTATGAATTANTGTGTTATATATTGAAGTAGCCTGTAGCTTTATCAACGTCTGCATGTAATCAACAACTGACTGCCAATCAAATAAAGAAAGTACAATTCATAAACAACAATATTTATTGTCAATTAAC